ACCACACCAAACTTCATACTGTTGTTCCCAATGATGGTTTTAGGATGACTGGTTCCACTGAATCCACAGAATATCTTGCTACTCCTTTATTAGGCCTGAAACTGTGAACATAATTGTCTTTGGTCAATATGCCTAAGCTCCATTCTCTGGAATCTGGACGGAATCTATTAAAATTCTCTAATAATCATCACTGGGCAGAAATCCTTAAGAAAATGGAACTTGCATTTTATAGTCGAAAATATTCATCAGCGCCCTGGTAAACACTTCAAACACAATGTCTTATGTCCACCTGTGGTAGACTTTGGGGCTTTGTATCCAGATCTGAGGTATAATGAGGTATGACTTTTGAAGTTGACAAATCTAGAACATAAACCTAATACATAGAGGGCCCAACATAAATGGGTTCTTCTAAATGCTAAAAACTGAGAATTAAGATGAATTCTCTCAAAATTTCCTTTGTTGATGTGAAGGTATTAGTTTCTGCTCAAAACACGGTTAATGTACCTGCAAATGACCTGATAATTTTTCAGTAACAACGAAATGAATTTAAAATTGCCCCTTGAGATATGCTGATGTTAGTGGAAAAGGATACTCAAGTCTACCTTCTAAGAAATAGTATGTAAGATTTATCAACTGGGAGATTTTCACCAAATACATGTGTTTGGTTCCGATGGTTAGAGCAGTCAGCTATTTTAGCTCTACTGATTATAGCTCTTGAAACACGCACATAATTTTTAAACGTTTTAGTTTTATAAAGCAAGCAAAGTCCAATGCATATAGCACCTCACTGTATAAAAAATTTTGGTTATGTCAAGGTCAAATCATGTCCCCCCTGTATAGTGATACCTATGGTAATTTTTACTGTAACACAGAATTCCTGGGAGACAGTTCTATTCACTCAACAGGTATTCCAGTGAGTGTAAGCCGTACATCAGAGGTTGTGGTCCTTGTTCCTGACGTCCCCTATTGTTATTTTTATATAAATGCTTTGAATAAAACATTATATTTCAGGTCTCTTCAGCAAATAAAATTTATGCCAATCAATTTGACTTTAAGATTTCCTCCTTATAATAGGGATCTTTGATATTACTGTTCTTCTGAACTATACTTTTGCCTCACTAGCTGGAAAATTCTACTGCTAAAAGTTTTTCCTAGTCCTGAAATGGCACAAATAAAGACACTGGGAACAGACAACAGTCCAAGTCTTATAGAACAAAAGAGAAAAAGAAGAAAATGAGGGAGAATGATTCTAGAATGACATTTGCACTTCTTGACATAACGCTCCTTTTTGGGGGAAAAAAAAAGACTCATGACTTACAAAGAGGACATTACAATTGCTAGATCATCACCAATCCAATAGGAATATAAATGGTAAGTGGTAGATCACATTTCATTTGGAAACCTTAACTGGCAGAAATTCTACCTTTAGAGTGGATAAGCCAAAAGAAAAGAAATTACTGCAGGCTCCATAAAAACACATTTTAACAAAAAGGCAGGGGGAGGGGAAAAGGGAGAAGGAGAGCACAGCTTCCCAGAACTATTGTGTCCTGATTTCAAGGAGAAATTTTATTTCTTTACAATCCAATTTGCAATTTGCTAACAAAATGGGCAGAAGCATTAACCTAGATATTAAAAAAGCAGTCAGTTAATACTACCTTGTAAACATATGCCTTCATTTTTCCACCAATGAAAATGATGAATAATATAATGGAAAACAACAAAACAGGGTAGAACCCCTGATGTACTCTTAGGTAAAGGCAATGTGGTAGAGAGTAATAGGATTAACCTATCAGATACATCCAAACGTCAAAATAGTTACCTTGGAAGGACAATCCTAATATGACCAACATTTCTTAGTATTCTTATGTTAGTAAGACTTTCAGAGCCTGTGCAAATTATTTTTAGATGTTGAGTTTATCTCCATTCAATAATGTTCCATGCACTCTGCAATTTCATATACAGAAGAGTAGTCTTGGCCCTTGAGAAGCTTACAGTCTAGCGAAGGGCACGGAGGTAGGTATAGATACTTTCATTATACTCTCAGCCCTTCCCCCGATGTCAGTTTATATTCTTGCATTATTAGTACATAGTGGTCTTCCTTCACTAAACAGGTAAACACCTCTGAGAGCAGAAACCATGTCAATTACCTTTGCACCACCTCCACAATGCCCCAGCAAAGTAATCTGTACAGAATGAGCATTTAAACAAGTGTTGGTTTAGGGAGAAAAGGTCTTTTTACTTATTAATGACACTGTGCTCAGCAAAACTCACCATAAGGTAGGTTTGCCTTGAAACCTAAGCAAGGGCATTTAGTCACTGCAGTACCTAAATAAGCTTTCCTGCAGCAGTCCTCAGGTCAGCATTACACTGAGACTTGGGTTCTAGAGGTATAAGAGCAGAAGCCCAGCTCACTCCCAATGACTGTCTAAATGTTATTCGTCAATAATAGCAAGGCACGTAAAACATTTACATCCCTACCGATTCCAAGGGAGAGAAATTTTACCTTCAAGAACCGAGCTAATCTACCAGCTAACCGAACTACTGTCTCACCATACCAGGGTAATTTTGAAGCCACCACTGAGAGTCTAGACAGCAATCTATATGTTCATTCCTACGGAGTTCATTAGGATGGTTACCCAAGAGTAGAGTATTTGGAAAGATGCAACTCGTCATTACCCAGGGTAATCCGGGACAGGAGCATTTACCTTACTGAATTCAGAGAGCAAACTTCTTTATTCTTGGTAATGACAGAATAAAGATACTATGCATGAAAACCAGGTCTGGACACAGTTGGCTGATTCGACCACAGAGCAGGCAAAAAAGAAAACAAAGTTTCTGATTGTTTATCTTAATAATAACACATAAAAGATAATCTGTATGTCATCTTGATATGATGCTTTGGAAATAATATAGAAAACAGAAGTCCATTATACAGAGCAAAAGATGATACTGGCAACCAGTGAGTAGTAAGTGTAATATGCAGAGCAGGCAGTAACATTTAGGTAGAAGAGGGCAACTGAAATTGTCTATAAAGCCAGGTTACTATGCTCCCTTGCAGGGAAGGGGCTGTCTGCTCCATCAGGCCCTTCTTAATAACCACATTCATTTCAGGACCTGACTATATCTGGCACCAGGAAGCAAGTAAGGTTGGACAACACAGAGAGGACAAAAATTCAGATCACAGCTCTACAGACTAGAACTGTGTTGTCTAAGAAGGTAACCACTAGCCATGTGTGGCTCTTTAACTAAAAATGGTAGGGGATCAGAACCTCCTTAAGTCTCTCTTATCCAAGAAGTTGCATGAATTGCCAAAAACAAAGATTTTTAGAAGCACCTACTTCCCCTACCCTCTTCCCTTTAAATAAAATGCTAAAGGCAAATGAAAACAAAACACAAAAGAGAGGAATTCAAGAAAACTACTCAAAATAAAATGGATAGCTATCCTAAATTACTGCTCCAAGATGCCCAAGGGAAAAGTGCTGCAAATGAAGAACATTTCCAAAAATACACAGTGGCCACAATTCAACAGATCTACACTAATTTAGAAAGTTACCGCCTCCTAAGAGGCCAAATGATTTGCTACTAACAATTTAAAGTACTAGGTTTTCATCAAGAGCACACTCCGGTTCAACTGTCTAATTCCTGCGCAAAACAAAACAAAACAAAAACAAAAAACAGTCACATACAACAGCTTCCATCCAAGGCATCGGTAAATTCCTGAAGTCATTTGGTTCTAAGATATAAGCTATGTCTGATAGTGAAATTAAAGCCAACTACGTTACTTAGATTCTACTTATTAGAAATTCTCTGTATATGGTATTTTAAAAGTGAAGTAAAAATATATTTCTGGATTTAAAGTAGACAGTTTCAATTATATTTAAGAAAAGCAAACTAAGATTCACTCAAGAACCAGGAAAAAGAAAGCCAGTCATTTTCAGACACTGGATTCTATTCAAACACTTATTCTATCAGTGTTTAAATATTTGCCTGCTACTTTACCATGCTATTGCTCTGTACCACACAGAAGAAAATTTGATATCTCCATGACAGAACAATTTGAATGCAAGCTAAAATTTAATCACCACATGGAAATAACAAAACTGGCAATCTATCAGCTTAAGTGATGAGTACCTTATATATTTTGGGGAAGGGGGTTCCAAGAAAAAACTTAAAATGCAAGCCTAGAGCCCTTCTTCAAAAAGGCATGATGTTGCCAGCCCTGACAATTACAGTCCGGGGTGGGGGGGGGGCGGCTATGAGACAATGCTAACAAGATGCAGTACACAGGGATTTGAGAAGCCAGGCAAGCTGCTACTCCATTTCATCATTATGAAAGAAATGCACAAGAATCAGACCTCTCCTTTCTGCACCCAGCATAATCCAACTTCCATAGGGATGTTCAGTAGCAGTTACCATCAGAAGTTATAAAGCCTCATGGTCCACCCTCCCTGTTCCCTAGCTTTGCCCCCTATAGCATGCTCAATGTTTATTTACCTCCTCCTTCAAGATCTCAGTATTTCAGAATAAAAAAGGAAGTAACATCTTGACCCTCTGCCCTTGGAAAGGCTGCACTCTTCCATCACTTTAACTCATCCCCTTCCAAGGAGAAACTCTCCATATTCAACAGAAATCACCGATGCACCTAAGCAAGGTGGGGAGATGTTCATTTAAACCTGGATAACTCCTATTTCTTCCCCCGGGGTGAGGACAGTGTCATTGGCAACTGTTCAAGTGAGCATTGTGAAAATTAAAGATCTCTAGGCCAAGAAAGTAGCTTGGGTCAGAAAGGCAGCTGATCTGAAACCTACCAAATCTGCAAAATCTGTTCCCCATTTCATGCATCCACAGCTCTACAGAATGTGTAAACAGCACCAGCAAACTGTGCTAGGAGGTCACAAGCACTCCACGCGGCGTGCACACAGTTTGTAAATGTGCTACAGACAAGTGTGGGAAATAGGGGCTGGTTCCGGTTCCAACCAAAGGGCAGAGCTAATGCATACCTTTTGGTCTTCTGGAATTTCCATTCTTTTGCTGTTCATCTTCCTCGTTAATGGTGAATAAACCAAGGGGAATTGGCCTTGCACTGGTCTTCTTCAGTCTCTCTTGTCGGATAGCTGTAGCAGATCCAGGCATACCGCGGCTACTTGTTTTTTTAATTATTATTATATTAAAAATATATGCTTATGTAATTGCAGCTCCCAGGAAGCTGCTAGTTTCTAAGCGGCCGGTTCATTTGAGCACTTGTAATAGATCCCCTATGGGTAAACAGTGTGCAAACAGCTGACAGATACTACCAGCTACTTGGCAACTGAGGCCCTGCAGTTCCCCCTCACCTAGCAGCAACCCCCCCACCTCCCCTCCACGCCCCCTCCCACTTACTCCCCCCAGGCATGTGGCTGGCTGGAGCTCGCTGCTTGCACACACGCTCCACACACACGCACGCGCACTCTCCTTCCGGAAAGCCCCAGGAAAGGCACGCGGGGTCAGCTGCCTCCTTCCACCCCCTAACCTGTTCAGTCAGATCGCAGCTCTTCCCGCTGTGGCGCCTCTCCCGTCTTCTCCCCGGCCACCGCACAGTAAGCTATTCCGCACACGGCACAGAGGGGACACTGCGATAGCCTCTGCTAACAGTTGCCCTGACAACCCTGCCCTGTCCTCCTCCAGGAGGCGTGGGCGCGGCTCGGCGTCCGCCCGGCAGCTGCGGGCTCCGGGCCGGGAACTCACCGCGGAGGGCTGGAGCCCAAGGACCCTGGCCGGCGGGAGGCGGCCGGCGCGCAGCGCAGCTCCTTCTTCCTTTCCTCTCTACCCCGGCGGGAGCGCGGGAGGACAGACAGCTCTAACTGCACAGGCAGCAGGGCACTCCCCGGGACGGGGACAGGGGCTCAATGCAAGAAGGCTTTTTCTTCTTTGGGGGAGCTTTGGGGTTTTCAATCGGGAAACTGTTTGCGAGTCCCTGGATGAAGGAAGGAAGGCATCGCTGGACCCCCACGGCTCACTCCGCACTCAGTGACACAGCCCAGCCTTCCAGACGTCCCTGCACCCCCAGAGTCTGTGTAAACATGGGGCGGGGGGCCCACCTGGCATGAAGACTAGCACTGCCGTGCACTGGAGAGCAGGCAGGGGGAGAACCGGACCTATTCTCCCAAAGACGACAGTTTGGAATACCCCTTCTGCAAGTCAAGTTGAAAGCAGAGAAACTACAATCCATCGAGGGGAAAAAAAAAAAAATCGGCTTCACCACATCCAGGCAACTCCTCCTGCAGTTCCCACTGCTCTGGGCCAGTCACTAGCCGCGGTGCTGAGCAATCCTCAACACTTGACCCACTTTTAGCTCTTTTTTGGATTGTTTTCTCCAAAGCATACAATCATGTGATTATTGTTTTCTCCTGAAATGAGCTTTCTCACTTAAGACTCTACACTTCTAGGCTGCCTGAAATTTATGCTGTATGTGAAACAAAAAATAAATTTACAGTAAGCGACACTGACAAATGCTAACTTGCAAATTAAGAAAATAATTTTTGTTGTTTTTGTTTTTGCCTCTTAATCAAAATCAAGTCTGCTTGGAAAGCCCAAAGCCATTCTCCCACCCCAGACCACTCTCCTACTTTTCCCCTCAATACTTAACCCACCTACCCAAGAGGGGACCCCAAGGATTCCATGACCAGTACCCTCTCTAAACCCTTTGAATGGAAGAGTAACTGCTGACAATTCACTTAGCTTTCCTTGGTGCCTTAGTTTTTGCTATAAAGTTGAGGTGACATCATTTACCTTAGAGGACTGGAGAAAGGATTAAATGAGCATAGCGGTAGCAGTAAGAAGTACTTACAAAAAGTAAAAACAGGTGATATGTATAAGAATCGTTTTTTTTTTTTTTTTTTAAGTAATCTCTATCCCCAACATGGGGCTTGAACTCATGACCCCAAGATCAAGAGTCGCATGTTCTTCCAACTGAGCCAGCCAGATGCCTCCCTGCTTTTACTTTTTATAATACATCTGTTCTAAGTAGTCCATTTTTGCTTCATATTTAATGTGTTTCCAGCTCAACTATCAACTCTATCAAAAGTTCTATTTTTTTATCTACTAATATTGCCCAGGCCACTGCTGGAGATGTACTAGATGCTTAGCAAATCTACTCTGGGGAAACAAAAACAAAAACACCAAAACTATAAAAGTCTTTCCCTTGAAGGCTGGGGGAATTTAATTAAGGTTAACATGTGTTAGATGTGTAGACTGGGGAAATGCAGGAAATTTCAGATATTAAGTTTACTTAAAATCATGGTCATCTGTGTGAGAGGTATTTGGAATAAAAGTGAATGGGGTTGAAGAGCTGAGCAGGTCTGAGAAAGCATCTACATCAGCGTTTTTCAAGGAAAACCGAGGCCCAAGAGGTAAAATTCCTTGGCCAGGTCAAATGTTAACTGGAGAACATTTCGAGTGGACATTTAGATCTCCTTCTCCCTAGTCCAGTGCTTTTCCTTATGACAACTATTTGGCCTACACAGTTCAGAATCCTAGATCCTTCTCTCCAGCTTCTACAGAGATGGCAAGATGTGGAGAAGGAAGGAAAGAAAAGATCCATGCCTCGAACACGCAAGATCTTGTTGTTTAAGAAATAAAGAGTGGATACAATATACTTCCATAATTCTACTTGGTAATTCCATTTGGTAATTCTATTTCTGAATTGAAGATGATTTGTTATTTCCTATTTCTTTAATCAGATGATCAATAAACATAGTCCATTATAATATACATATTTATGAAAATCTTTTCAAATCTAGTTTGTTTCTTCTACCTTCCAGAGAATCAGGTTAGTACTTACAATGGCAACACACTCACACACAGCTGAAACTACCTTTTGGCAGAAAAAATGAAAAGCTATGTCTCAAATGACAGATTTCATTTAGAAATGTTCCTTACCCAAATAAAACTAATAGCTTCTGACCATCTCCATGAAATTTAACAGAAGTAATCCTGAAAGAGGTAAAGCTAAGGCAGAAGAGATCTCTTCATCTTCCAGATGAAAAATTGAGAGGATTAATATTTTATGAAGTATCCTAGGAGGACAATGAAACACCTTTCTAAGAATGGCTTTTAAAAAGCAAAGTGAAAGCTGAAATTCAAATGACTTCTGCAGAAGATGTACATTCCTTTATTTTCAAGGATGGCCTGGATGGCTTTAAAGCTTTTATAGGAGAAATGCAGCAGCAAAGCAAAAGTTTCATGGTCTTTAACTTATCCAGATGAGATGTCACAAAGGAGCCATCCTTGAGGTCTGTGGAACGGAGATCACAGGACAGCCCCTCTGGGACACAGAGGCCTGTAACTGAGCCCACCTCTACCACACCCAGCCAATCCCTAGTTCTCCTCTTCTGTTAACTGCACTGGAATATCCCTCAAATGACAAAGATGGCATTCTTTATGCTCTAGCGTGAGAGGTCTCATGGAGAATTTTGATTTGTATCAAAATATGAAAGTCACCAAAGTGGCTGTTTTGAAAATTATGCTTAGACCATTTACTGGGGAAATGAAAGCCTAATCAAAGGAGACCAAAAGTCACCACCGGCCTACAACTGATGAGGCAGGGGTGGGGTCAAGAATTCCATTATCTGGGAACATCTCGAACTTTGTCAGATGCTGTGCGAGGTGCGCCAGATGGGTTACCTGTGTCAGTCATGACAGCACGGGGAGAAGAGTCATCACCTGACAAATCAGGAAACAGAGGCTAAACCTAAAAACAGAGGTTAAAGTCCCCCCGCTAGTTAAGTCACTGAGTCAGGATTAAACCATGGCCCATCTGCTCTGAGGCTGATGCTTTTGTCCTGCTGCTTTGTAAATCCTGACTGCAACAGCGACTAGCTGTGTCCCAGTCACAGCTGTGACCAGTCACAGAGAAGCAAACAGCCCAAGATCAAATAATCATAATAAAGGAGTTTTTTTCCTATCCATGAAGTACACATTTAAGACATAAATACATTTGAGATTAGTTTCCTAAATGCTCAAACCCAGTCTTTAATGGATATAGGTGTTTTAACTCTTATTTAACTTCAGGAATACTGGGGCTGAACCCCTGCAGAGGCATGGGCCTCCAGTCTTCTCCCTTTTATACTCGGACCCAAAACAAAAGCAGATGTGGAAGGGGGATGGCAAGACCTTAAAGTAAAAGGAATCCTACTCTGAATTCCTGAGCTCTTCCCCAGCACTAAGAAGAGTTTTCAATTTGATGTGGCACGTGTGTCCTTGAACGTCACTCGCAGGCACAGTCTCCATGGGAACTGGGGTATGTAGACTTCCAAGAGTCAATGAGGTTTTGCAACTGTTTCAATTCTTAAAATAATAAATGATTTTTAATGGAGACTTTGTACAAAGTTGGAAGAAATGAGACATTACCTAGTGCGAAAGGGTAGATTTTACAACTAAACCGGCTTTATAGAGAGAAAAATGTTCGCAGTATAATCATAAAATAGAGGGACAACTGTAAGTGGAAATGATACCACTCATCCACTATCAATGAAACAGCCCACTAGGCTGTTGAGCAACTGCTGTCCCCACCAATTCCCACCCCCAGCCCTAGTCCCTTAGTACGCAATGAATTTACATGTGTCCTTCTACCATGGCTGTCGGGCACCTCTGGCCTGCCTCCAACCGTGAGGCAGGTGAATATGAAACAGAGTCAGACTAACTCATCGGTAGGGGAAGTCATCTCGTGATTTCGACCAATCTGTCACAATGTTCTAGGAGACTAAACACATGCAGGCGCAAGTATACACACATACGCTTCAGGCTTCTACTCATATGTATCCTTCCTAAGCTTTTATTTTATGTCTGTTTTTATGTCCGTAAGACTGGAAAATAGCATACAGTCCACAAATGAATTTAAGACTAGCCTCTTGCAAAGAGCAATCTGTTTAAGCAGTGAGACACATACCTAGATTTTCCCTTCTAAAAGCCTAGTGTGCTTTACAAAAACATCCTTGAAACGGAAGAGAGCCTGACTGGTACATATCAAGGACTGTAGCTGAAAACAGAAATTACTACTGCTGGACTGAATGGCCAGTCACCAGTAAATTACAGTTCTATACACATGTAAGTTAGTTACTTTTCAGCAGGGCCCAGAAGTGCCAAACTGCCTTTTCCTATTTCTACATTATGATTAATATGTAGGAGATTAGTTCTTCAAAACTACTGAACTTCAGTAATCTTTTAAATATTTAATGCATTAACCACCCCTCCCCCAAGGTAAGCTGCAATTTACTTCTAGTAGGAGTTTTGGAAATCCACATTTTAAAGCAATATTAAAAAGAAAAGAAAACCTTCAAATGGTTACAGGTTGACTGTGGAATCAACCCCTGGGAACAAAGGGTCCCAGCTGGTTCTCTGCCATCCCCATCCTTGAAGTGAGAGGACTCCCTTACAGTTTCCTAGAATGAGGACACTTCCTCATGGCTGCTTTGGCAATAAAGACATAACATCCTGCCATCTTGCAGCATTCTACAGAGCTTCCAAAAAGCTGCTGGACAAAGAAATACTGCACAAAGACAGACCAA